TTGCAAAGCTGTCCTCTACGTATTTTTAAAATTCTCTCTCACTTTTCCTCCAGAGGCATCCAAACACAGTAGAGGTGGCTGTCATAACTTTGGACAGTAGGTTGTTCCCATCCAATCGCATCAGCCAGCTCGCCTATGCAGAAGAAAGAAAGGGAACACAAAGCACAGAAGACAGAAAATGAACAACACATTCCTTATTTGTTAAAAAGATATTTTTGTAGAACAATGCCATAATTTTGGGATGTCTAATCCAAGAGTTTCATATATTATGCAGTAATCTGAGGCATTTTTCTTTAGAGATTAAAAGCACTATAAAATATGATTCCAAATATTCTGTGGTACTTTTAATGTCTTTTGTGGGTGACTGAATGTAGGGTCACAGCCTAAAGAGCTTGTAAGTAGAGAGAAACTTTCAGAATGGGAGTCAGAAATGTAGCTGCATATTGCCCATATTAACAGGAGATATGTAACAAGGCCCCCTCCACATGTTATAGGTAGCATGCACTTAAGTGATTAAGTGTGCAGTTGCCCTGAGACCAGCTACATAGGAAAAGTACCTATCCTGCTATAAAAAGCTCCAGCCAGCAATAAACTTAGACCTCTAAAATGTGCACTAATTTTATAGCTGGTTGCTATCCATCTTTAATTTGCATTTGTAGCAGGGTCTCCCCTATGGCTAGAAGCCCCATCAGGTAGCAGGGCTACCAGCAACAGGGGTGCACCATGCCAAGCCAGGGATGGGAGTCCCACAACCAAGGGGACTCTCAGCTCCAGCAGCTTCTGACTCTGGGTCCTGGCACCACAGGAAGTCAGAGTCTTGCAGTTACAGGTGCTGGGTGCCAGCTGGATCCTAACAGCCAGGGGGCACAGCTGTCCCAGGAGTGTGTGAAACCACTGGGGCTCTGGGATGAGCTGTGATCTCTCTGTCCTAGGGGCTTCATGCACCCCTGAGGCTGGGGTTCATGGCACTAAGATCCCCCAGCACTGGGAGGTGCATGGAGCACTCCCTAGGTGGGAGCTCCTTAACTGCAGGAGCTCCCAGTTGCAGGAGCCTGCTTCTTGCCAGTGCAGAGGGAATCCAGCATTGGGGTCCCCTGCACCAGCAATCAGACACAATGGGCTCTAATGTGTGATCCCACAATCACACCTGCTGCCATGCATGCTTGTGTGGGTTACACATTAGATCCCATCACACCTTTACCTGTATGCACAAAGGGGCCCTGAGGGTGCAAACAAGCCTTAGTCACACCAGGTTTAGGATTAAGTGGTTTACTTTAAACTGCTTAACCTAAACCAGGAGTGGTGCATGCAGGCTTTTGACTGGCTTAGGCATGCTAAGTTAAGGAACTCTGGGGCTAGTGGGATCTGCATGATTTGCCGAGTCCAGGGAGGACCATTGTGGGGCTAAAAATAGCCCATTCAGAGTCAAATGTATGGGGGTAGGAACAGCATAGCCTCAGGTGTGTGGCAAGTGGCTGGGGTTTGCCAGCTCCAAGGCTGTGCTTTGTACACATGCAGGTGTTCACTAACCATTTGTAGGTCAGACTAACCCTTTATTGATCTCAAATTAGCTCATCTCCTGAAGTGAACTAATTTAGATAAGGCGTGCCATTTTGGGGGCAATTTAAGACCTGTAGGTACCTACCTGATTGGGCATTTAGATAGACTTAACCTTGCTTGGGTCAATCTAAATGTAACACTTGTGAATACCCTAAATTTCTGTGTTCATTTCTACATATGTAAACCCAATCCTGTTTGAACCTTCCCCTTTTTATATTTTTAAAAATCAGTGAAGGAATGAAGCATTATAGCTTTATGTAATACCAATATATGCAGTGTGTGCTTACTAATTACATTCTGGAGTTCAACCAAAATATATTTATATCCCAGAAAACAAAGATTTTTTTCCAGAATGGGGTAGGGTGTTCAAATACCAGAAAAGCCATAAAAACTGGAAAAAGTTAAAAAGGTAAATCATGACATATGTAACACAGCAGAAGAAAAACCTTATGAAGCCCATACTACCTGGTGCAAGGAGCCTGAACCCAGGTATGAATATTTCCTTACTTTTTGCAAATTTGGAATCTACACTTTGTTATTTAGGTGCAAGACACAGGATTTTATTCCCACTTTAAGACCAAATTGCAAAGCAACATCTACCACAGACTGAGAACTAATTCTCTAGGAAAATGGTTGGGTAAAATTGACTGGAATTCAATTACAGCTTGTCTTCCAACTGCAAAAGTACAGTGACTATTTGAGCATCTCTACTGGCAGAGAATCTCAGTTAAACATCTATTTAATGTACAGTACTTACCCTTGAAGTGCTTTCTCTCCAAACCAGTCTCCTTTCCCCAAAGTGCGGAGAAAGATTGGATCTTCACTTGGTGACTCTTCACGAGTCACGTTTACCTGTCAAAAAATAAATTAAAGTTAAAAAATCAGAATTAAGAATACATTATTAACGCCTATTTATATTGCAATTACAACAGGGAGTTACACAGGGAGTGGTTAGCATTTATCACCCCATCAAACAAAACAACAGACTCTCTCATTAGTTCAAGCTCTTCATAAACAGCTTTCTCCAAGGAAGGAATGGAGGGACATTACCAACTACCTGTTGATTAGCTCCAAAAAGCCATAAGCCAAAACTGTCCTGTTTCTTTTGCCCTGTCTTCCACAGCACAGATCGTAGCCAGCACATGGTATGCTAGCTAATGCTGAGAGGTGTCTGTGTAAGGCAGAGGGGAGGGACAATATCTGCTTGAGCAGGGAGTGGTGAGGGGGAACAGGGCGGGGGGGAGGAGCAGGGGGAAGCCAAGCAGATTCCTGCAGGCTCTGCCAGAGCTCCAGCCAG